GGTTGAAGGGATTGATAGCTATCTAATATGCCTCCCATCCAATCTCAATCTCGGTTGTTCTTCGTATCAATACGATGCTTGAGTGGTAGCCATCCACTTGAGAAATGTTTGAGCGGCATGAAACCTCCCAGAAATGCTTGGGTGAAGGTTTGCGAGGCTGTGTAAAGATTGTCCAGGAACGAAGGTTTAGAACAAGATTTCATCTTACATGGATTCTTGATATTCACTTTATCCATTGCTAGTGTCAAAGGAGCGGAAAGAAGCCAACAGCAGTAGATCGCCTAAAAGTAGAAGACGTTATGGGGATTGGATCACGGGATCCCCCAATTTAGAATCAAACTTGATTTTGCCGCCCTGTGGGTAGTCCCCTGAATATCACATAGCTAGGCCTTACTGGGACTAGTTCAAATCAGATACAGGCCTTCATTAACCACCGCCAGTTTCTTTTCCCGCTCATATTTACCCTTTCCGTCTCACAACTTCGTTTTTTCCACCAAAATTCAACGACTCTCCCACAGAAGCACCAGCATTCGTTTGTGGTTGCTCTTTCTTAAACGACTTTAATTTAAAAAATATTTTCTGACCAGTCTCTCACTCTCTTGGGACCGTCAAACTTTTTGCTGTTTACTATCTAACATCTCGTCATCACCCCCTTAAAATTCAACCAAAATTGACCACTTCTCATCACAAACGTGTCACCCAATTCTAATTTCTTCGCATAATGAAGAGCCTCACAGCAATCATAGCATTCGCTGCTGCTTCTACCGCGTTCGCTGCGCCAGCCGTTGAGAAGAGAACTTCTGCCAATCTCACAGCCATCACCGTTAAGGGAAATGGTAAAGTTCCGGTATCCCTCTCGGCAACGTATTTCTAACACACTACAGCTTTCTTTAAAGGAGATGACCGTTTCTACATCCGTGGTGTTGATTACCAGCCTGGAGGATCATCCGACCTCGCTGACCCAATCGCTAATGTGACAACATGCACGAGAGATATCGCCAAGTTCAAGGATCTAGGAATCAACACAATCCGTATCTACACTGTCGACAACTCTGCAGACCACGATGATTGCATGCAGCTTTTGGCAGATGCTGGCATCTACCTGGTGTTGGATGTCAACACTCCTCTATACTCCCTTAACCGTGATTCACCGCTTCTCTCCTACAACTCCAAGTACCTCCAGAACGTTTTCGCCACCATGGAGGCCTTCTCTGGGTACACCAACACCCTTGCCTACTTCTCCGGAAATGAGGTTGTCAACACCGATAACAGCACAAGCACTGCTCCATACGTCAAGGCTGTCACCAGAGATATGCGATCATACCTGAGCTCTCGTGGGCATCGTCAAATCCCAGTCGGATACTCCGCTGCTGATGTGGACAGCAACCGCTTGGAGATGGCCCAGTACATGAACTGTGGTACCGATGATGAGCGCAGTGATTTCTTCGCCTTTAACGACTACTCATGGTGTGATCCTTCTTCCTTCACAACCTCTGGATGGGATCAGAAGGTCAAGAACTTCACCGGCTACGGCCTCCCTCTTTTGTAAGTATCAACCCTTGTCATTGGGATCATGACTTCACGCTAATCTTTCGTAGCTTGTCTGAGTACGGTTGTAATACCAACACCAGAGAATGGGAGGAAGTCACGTCTCTCTACAGCACTGACATGACCGCTGTTTACTCCGGTGGTATCGTCTACGAGTACTCCAACAACGTGGCCAGCAACTACGGTCTCGTTACCATCAGCGGAACCACCGTGACCAACCTTGCAGACTACTCTACTCTAAAGGCCAAGTATGCTTCCGTTGACAACCCAACCGGTGATGGAGGGTACAACAGCACCGGAGGAGCATCCGGATGCCCAGCTAAGAGCGCCAACTGGGACGTTGATGGAGATTCTCTTCCTGCCATTCCAGTTGCTGCTGAGGCTTATCTCACAAGCGGCGCAGGTACTGGTGTTGGTCTTACTGGTACTGGATCCCAAGATGGTGCTGGTGAGGATGTTGACGGAGGTCAATCTACCGGTATCGCAGTAACAGGTTCAGGAACCGCAACCACGGATGCTTCAGCATCCGCCAACTCCAGTAGTAGCGACGAGAGTGCCGCAGCTATTCTTGCACCACCATCCATGACACCAATAATCGTCGGCGCTCTCGTCACATCATTCACCATCTTCGGTTCTTTCCTTTTGTAAGCTTGATACATCTTCGGAGCTGTACACGATGGAAATTAATGGTCACACTCAATAAGTAAAGTGTGGCGACGGGGTCGGCAGTGTTGGGGGGAGTTATGGGCAGTGTTTGGATCTTCTGGATTAGAGGTGGAGAATTCGTGAAATGCCTTTATCTGTGATGAACTAGAAGAGGTATTCCAATAGTTGGGCTTTGTATGAAAGTGGTCTCGCGAGATTTGGAATGAAAGTTGATATTTTCTCCAGTATGCTACCTTTTCTCCCCAACCCATGCTGCGTTCGTCTGGTGAGATATCTTCCTGCGCATATTCCTGCCACGCACTTTTCCCCACATCTTCAGATCGGCCACAAACCATTTTTCGTTCCCCTATATACGATGACCTAACTGATCTGTGTCGTAGTGTAGACAGGCTGTGCTCCATCAACGCGGCAGTTTGGGTAGCTGTGCAGCGGTTAATTCGCGAGGATGCGCGAGACAGAATATTGAAGTGAACGTCTCTGCCTTGTCTCTTGGCTGTTGCACGGGATGCAGCTTAATCCACCTCGGGCGGCGACAAGATGCTTGCTGTGCAGCATACGCCATTGCTCCTTCTCGTGGGACGGTAGTCTTATATATTTGATGGCCTTCACGTCTCGCTACTTGCGTATTTGGCATACAATGAAAGGATTCGGTTTGGAGTAATCTATCCGATCTTTTATACAACCTCGTTGGTCTGTGTTGGCGAACACAACACAGGCTAACCTACATGCTAATGGGGTGGTCTTCGGATCTGCCGATTGGTAGTTACTCAACAGGTAGAAACACTCGAGAAATATATAGGCTCAAGATCAATAACTAGATGCACTTCCCTCGCGATGGACGGGGGGTGCATGAGAAAAGGTAAATTCATATTTTCGATGCATAGAAGGGAGGCGCAGTCACAATGTATCACAACCAGATATATGCAGCCCAGAGTTCCATTCAAGATCGTGCACTGTGCATCTACAACCTATAAACGGATTCAGAATTCTCCCGATCCGTCAGATCACGCCAGCCATGGTTCTCAGTGCGCATGTACTCGCGACTCGCTCTAATCGCAGTCTTCTTGTGATTCTACCTCCGGTACCAACAGCTGATAGAGACCAGATCGACCCCTCAAAACGCATAGCACCCCATCATGATAATCTCTGCGGGCACATATCTCGAAACTTCTGTTGGTGGGAGCTCTTGTGGACCGATAATGTTTCCAGCGCAATACCCAAGGAGGTAGAAGGCGGCCACGGTCATCTCCTTCGTGGCGCCCACGACTTTACTGGAGATGGGTGAGAGGATGTGTGAGCCTGTAAATTCTTCTTTGAATTGGCTCCACTCGAATCGTTTGTTGTCGATTACTTGCTCGTTTTCGCGCACACGCTCGATGGCAAGAAGTCGGTCATCTTACAGGAGACGAATACCTAGGAGACACGAGGTTCTTGTAACTATCCACTGTGAGCGTATCCTCATCTCCCAGCATTACTTTAGAGTATCTTTCAAGACTAAATATTACCCTTCAAGCCCGACAACCTCAAATATTTAGAAGGAGAACTATATCGACCAAAATGACAACCACGAGGAAGGCACTGCAGGGCTTGGACCGAATAGCAGCTTCGAACAACACGGTTTGCGTACGGATGTTGGACACGACCTCCGTTATGTCTCTCGAAGAGAGCTCGTTTGACAAGCCAGTTTTGCCTGGCCATGAAGTCATGGGCGTGATCACGGTAGCCTTCCTTATTGAGAATGAGAGATTGGGAAAGAAGGCCACGTTCGATCTAGCGACGAGAAATGACTACTAGAACAGTCCGCCATTCACTCTGACGAGAATTGAGGCGGCAACCTCAGGTGTTCGGGATTGGCAGGTATATCACTGAGATATTGGTGGAGGGTGGTATCAAGTTTGAGGATATAAGGAAGTGATTTTTACAAAAGTCTGTCAATTGCGTTCTTCCAGGCGGGATAGTTCATTTCAACTCTCAGCTGAGTTAAGGCTAGAAACGTGTCTAAGCATTCCCGGCGACGTGCATTAGTGATGACTGCACTATGTGCTGTCATTTCCACTGTTGCTATGCAGATGTCTACCCGAAGAGTTGCGTCCAGCTGCGACTCACACAATCTTTATCTAAACAGATTTCAGCGAGTCCAAGATCGCGAATGTAACCTCAATGACAGGAGCTCGTTTTCCATGCAAAGACCAGACCATCCTTAAATCTGTGAAAAATATCAAGTTGGTCTACTATCTGACTAGCAGAGAGCCCAGGCTGACAGGCAAAACATTTCTTAGACGACATCTGTTCTTACAGCCACTGGGACCATATGGGAGCACCTCATCTATTCACAGCCCCGATCAACCTGAATTATAGCAAAGGTACCGGGTCTATACCAGGCTACCCAGCAAACCCAGACTCTAACATTCTGGTCGCCGAATTCGAGAACCGCAAATGTAACGAGATTAACTGCAATGTGCGAAATATCGGACCGTTTCCAGCGACATACCACTACCAGATGTCATACCTTGCGAAGCACTACTACATGCTCCAAAATATCCATCGCCATATCCTTACAAGTTTTTCAGTGACCACTACACACACCTTCACATTGAGCCCCCATTGTCCGAGCCAGTCGAGCCTCTACACAAATATTCAACATATAAATGATCTCTGCGATTATGATACAAGCCCGATAAGAAAATCAGTTTTATGCTGAACATCAATAGCAATGAAGTTTCATTCCTAAAAAGTATTATAGTATATAAATTACCAGACGTCTTTGAAGTTACAAATTACACAGCGGAGACGTGGCCGAGTGGTTATGGCGTGTGACTCAAGCTATCAGCTTCGCTATCGTAGATAGCGTGCATTCTCATGGAGCAATCCGCAGGGGTTCGAATCCCCTCGTCTTCAGCTCACGTTTTTTTCTTTTTTTTGGCCTCCGAGATCCCTCAAATTCTTGCAATCCTGCGTGTCTTCTTTTTACGTCCTGAGGAGGGCTCGCGGTGGATAAAATAACTCGGGCTTTTTTTTTATCTATACACACCCACCCTAATTTGTATAGGATTCTACCCTTTTGACGTCACACCACAACAACTAGTTATGTTATTAGCTATTAACTATATACTATGGCACGAACTGGAGCTCATTGTAATCAATATACAGGGCCCGAACCGCCAAAAACTCCTTCAAATAAGTCACATTTAGAGCACGAAATAGAGCTACCGCCAGCTAAATGTCGGAAGCCAAATCCACACTTTGACCAGTGTCAGATACCTCAAAAGTCACAAGTACACGCTGTAGTTAGCTGGGAAGACTCTAAAACTTACTTTGAGCGTGCTAAACGCGACGAAATCTTTGATTATTGCTCGGTATCACGTACACAAGGGTTCGAAATATTTGCTGCCGGCCCGGGAAACACCCGAAGGCATCCTGACAATCTGACTATGGCAGAGAAGCCAGGGAGCAAAAAGAGACTTTCGGAGGAATATATAAACAAGCTTGAAAATCTGATTTGGAAACACAGATTTGAAGGACGTACTATGACTTGGGAGTCGTTAGCCGAAGAGAGTGGTGTCACCGGGAGAGGCCAAGCATATGTTTCGCCATATCACGCTCGTCGGAGAAAGAAATGGGCCGAAAATATGAAAGCAAAGTATCCAAAGAAAGAAGATTGGCGAACTGTTCGATTTCGGACGAAGTACACTTCTCCTTCGGGCCACAAGGTCGAATCTATGTCCTTCGGAAGCCAGGCGAGTGCACCTGTCCTGACTTTGTACATGAGAGGACTCTGCCGAAGAACGAAAAGCGAAAAGACGATCCGGAGAACGAGCCCAAATTCGATCTCGCTTATAAGCGTCATGGTTGGGCTTCGGTTGGCTATAATCGTAAGTCAGAGTTGATTTTCTATGGTTCGGGCAATTCAAATGGCAAAATGAGTAAAGAAGTCTATATCGAGCAAATCTTGGAGCCGGTACTCCCTTGGCTACAAAACAAGGAGAAGTTCGTACTTGAAGAAGACGGTGACTCGGGCCATGGCTATACTAAAGACCTGAATATTGTCAAATCTCGGAAAGAAACGCACGGATTAACAACTTATCTTAACTGTGCCGGTTCTCCTGACTTTGCTATTATATAGAACGCCTGGCAAGTCCCGAAGCAGCATGTTCGTAGAAGTCAACACTTTGACTTTGGTACTCTTCGGGAACTTGCTCTTGAGGGCTGGGCTAAGCTCTCACAGGAGACGATTAACTGTTGGGTTGACGAAATACCAAAAAGGCTAGAAGACTGTATATTAAAGGAAGGTAAAATGACTGGATGTTAGATTTAATGTATTCATAGGCCAAAATATTATGATTTGTATGTGAAAATAGGGTGTTCTTGTCTAGGTGTGCATAGATAAAAAATAAAGAAAGTTCGGGTTATTTTGCCTACCGTGAGGGAGGGGCAAGGAATTCGTCCTTTTTGTTCGTACTCCGCTTCTCAGCTGTGTGTCTGGTAGATGGAAAGGCGGTGAGTAGTAATTATTCTGTACGAGAGAAGGGTGCGCACGTAGTATATGAAACTTAATCGTACCCTTATTGCGTACACGATCTTCGTAATTGTAAATCCTTCTTTCGTGATTCATGAATACGTGATCGCCTCAAACAGCTGTGGGAGTCTAGAAACCAAGTCACGCACATGTACAACATGACTGGAAGGACTGAAAGCATGTATTGCCATAGCAACTTCATAGTCTTAGATGTACCTACGAAAGGCTGGTAATATTGCGCATTTAAGGAATCATGTACGGTTTCAGGTGCATCCACTTGAAAGTCTGAGTGACCTTGCAATATCAGCTTCTAGCTTCTCCATCCAATTCTGAGTTCCTTGCTGAGTATGGTTACTTTGTGCATTGCTCCCCAACCTACTGGCGTTTCCTCCAACCCCGTCAACGGACCATCATTTAAGCTTGGTTGCGCTTTTGTTTTTCTTCTGGTCAAGCTCCCCTGGCTGCAGCATCTACTCGTTTCTTTGTAGCCTCCCAGGCTGCCTTCGTTAGTATCTCTCATCGTAATATCTACGGCTCAGACAATCTAGCTGCCGTCCTGTGCTGTAAGTATACCCACCATTGTCATACTGCCAACTATGATGCGGAAGCAGCCCACTGAAGCTTCTAGAGAACATGCGTTTCGTGGCGACATCCTGCCTCTATCGCAGCAGCGACTGGGTTTCTAGCATTATATGCTGTGCATACGCAGATTGCAGTCCATTAGATCAAACGGGAGCATTCACTTGTGCGCAACGTTTATGCGCAGACAACGGTGTCACCGTACCTAATGATGTATCCTGCAAGAGCAGCAACTTGTAAATTCCTTCTACATACTCGCCCCCATTGCCCTGTCAAATTAAAACTCTCCAAGTAGTATCATATCTGCTCTTCTTTGCTAGCGATGTCTTCTCACCATCAGAGAGAATCTGACGAGCCTCCAGAGCTAGCAGCAAGACAACTACATCCGAACCCTCCCCGGTACGGTATCTCTATGTGCTGTTGTTCTCGTAAGCATCGCTGTGGCATTGTTTCTGCTTAGACGTCATCACTGTCTTCACGGTATAGCAGGTCCTGCAGAAAACAATGAGCCCACTAGCTCCCGGAATGAGCTTTCCACCACCGCAAACACTCAAGAGCTCAAGGGGGGTATGTACTCATAAGGGGGGTATGTAATCGTAAGCAGGCACAAAGGACGAGCAAGGCATGACTGAGTTCAAGAAACAAGAAAACTCACCTTATGCAAATATATCACGAAAGCCTTTAGCGGAATTGTCTGGAACATCTCAAGCTCGAATATTGAACGTGGTAGAGGGAGATTCAGCATCCTACACAGAAATGGAAGGAAGAAACTTGCCTATTTCTGTTCCTACGCATACACATGGTTCGGTGTCAGAAGTAGGCGATGCTGCTTCCACTTCATTTTCAGCAACCGAGAACAAAGAGGCAAGACTAGCAACATTGCAGCAGAGACTGGAGAAAGTTCGACAAGACAAGGAGAGGATGCATAAGCTCCAGGAACTAGAAATGATAGAAGAACTGAAAGCGGAGGTGATGAGAGAATCGAGGTTGTCAAAATGATCTACCACATATAAGCTCTCTGACTGGTTAATTGTTAGACGTCAGCAAACTACTGCACCTCCGATGTACAACTGCTACATGCGGCGCTCCAAAGTACTTCTCAGAAGTGAGTTCCTCTTTACCTCGTGATTGTTGTAGAGCGTCGTCTTGTGGCACAGGAAACTGTTCGCCAGGGGAGTCATAGTACCCAAGTTAATACAGATCTTACTGTAGATGATGTCCAAATTTCTAGGCAAAAGGGAGTGTCCCTCTCAGAAATGCGTCATGTCTTCCAAGAACACATTCGATAATAACCATGTTATAATGCTCTTCTAGCTGGAGGGAGGATGCGAGCTTCGCTTGACATCGCTTGACAAGCACGCGGAAAACTGCAAAAGAAACCTATACAACAGTACGGATTCGCTGCTGGATTTACAGTCAAAGGAGATCCAGATTGCGTAGCGCAAACAAAATTAGTCCATCATTGCCTACACAGCAGACAGCTACTTTCAAGGGGTGGCAGGGTTCTCACTCAAAGTATCGCGATAGGTAATGGGGCATGTTGTCCACACCCAGTCTATGGCAGCATGACGGAGGCCGTCCACCCAGTTGTATGTCCAGACCCTTTCATCATCTTGGTCCAGGACATAGCTCGAACCTTCCCCTATCGAGCCCATTCCAGTATTATATGTTTGTGTATGTAGGAGAGACGGTTTTTCAGCGACCTCACCAGCCGACGGCCTTGGTAAACTGATTCAGAATGTGACGCCTTCAATCAGTCGTCCACCGAGCTCAAACCCTCGCGGGCGAATTCAGGTTTCGTGAAAGTTGATTAATTTGAGATGTGTCGATCGGAGGACACCATGGAGTACCTAACGGTGGGCAGCCTCCATAGACATCGAACTGGATCGCATCACCTCACAGCCCGAAAACTGGAGGGACGCTCACCACAAATCTGCTTGTGGAAGAAATGAAAAATAAATTGGAACGCGAATTATTTTAATACCTTGGGGGCTTGGCGCGCTAACCCCGATCATCACAAGTGTTTTGATTAAAATGGATCTGTATTATGGAGCCTTTTCCGATTAGGTACTAGAAAACATGATATCTTCCATTGACCAGCTTGATCTTCCACCAAATCCAACTTAAACCTCTTCTCCACCTCGATCAGAACGATCAAAATGACAGAAATATCTATTGAAGAGACCAACCGTCTGCGCGCGTCCTTGGGTATGAAGCCACTGCCTATTCCCGGGGCACCGCCATCTGGACCAGTCTTCATGCAAACGATTAGATCTGGGCCAGCAGAGGAAGTGGCAAGCACACTCGAGACCCGACAAGCTGAAAGCTACGAAAACTACAGCAAGGCAAAGGAAGCTGATGAATCTAAGAAGAGGCGCGAAGCGAAGGCAGAGGCGATCAAGAAGGCGCGAGATGCAGCGAAACGATTCAGCAAGCTGGAAGGCAAGGGTCTTGGAGATGAAGATGAGAATGAGGAAATGGACACACGAAGCTGGCTCATCAAGCAGAAGAAGAGACAAAAGGAAATCGAAAAGGCTAGGAACCGTGAGCAAGAGCTTGCCGAGGCGGAGGTAGCTGCAGCCGCGGAATACACTGTGAAGGATCTTGCTGGTGTCAAGGTTGGACACGAACTGGACGCTTTCGAGGAGGGAGAAGAGCAGATATTGACTTTAAAAGACCACACAATCGACGAGAACGAAGAGGAAGGTGACGAGCTGGAGAACTTGACCCTCCGCGAGCGCGAACGGCTCAACGAAAACCTGGATCGCAAAAAGAAGAAGACGTATGATCCGTTGAGCTCCTT